CGACCCATTGTTGACAAGTTTGCCGAAGAGATGTATTTCGAGAACAACGCAAAGAAGAGGGTTTTGATCGATAAGTTCCAGTCGAAAGACAAAGACGACAAACCAAAGGATAAACCCATTGTCATGTCATCGGATGACGATTGGGACGATTAGCCCTTCCCTCGCAATCTCTTCACTTCTTTTAGTATTTTATGTTTTTAAAAATTTATTTACTTTTTTTGAATTTACTTTTTTATAATTAAGACTATTATTTAGTACTTTATTTACAACTTTTTAAAACACTAATCAATTGAACAATGATTTTTGTTTCTATTATGACTTTTACTCTATTTATAATGTATTTATAATTTATACTCTATTTGTAATGACTTTTATAATGCAATTCATAATTCTTATTTGGGTTTTAAAATAAATACGGTATGAATTTTTATTTTCAAATAAATTGGTTAATCAAATATAGAATACATTATTTACCAATTATGGGTTTAAATATATTAAAACTATTTTCAATGATTGCCTAAAATGCCTAAATATACTAAAATGTTTGGCCATAAAATGATTGCATTGAATGCAATCATTGGATTCTGTGATAAAACAATTGGCTGTAAATGTAACGCTTGAATACTAATAAAATTTAATTCATTGGTTATTGAATGAAGTTTTGTTGCATATAATAAATATAATGATTTGATGAGTATTTGGGTTAAGAATTGTTTAAAATATAACACAATAACGAGAATAATATGAGAATTGTATTGCAATGAACGCGACTATCATTGGATTCAGCGGTAATCCTGTCGGCAACGGCCGAGTGTTTGTGTTCATTGGTTTTGTACATATAAATGTTAAGCCTGGTCACTTTCTCGCCCACTACAGTGAATTGTCTGCGAACAGTTTGGTAGCCTTTGGCGGCCACTTCGATGGCGTAATCGCCGGCCATTAGTATTCTCCAGTACTCGCCTCTATTGGTGGGCCGGAAGACCATATCTCTGCCCACAATCCTGATCTCAGCGCTGGCAATGGCATTCTCACTGAGTTGTTCCCGGATCAGTCCCTTCACCCCTCTGTGCACTTGTTGTAAGTATGTAACCAATGACTGCTTATTATCGTTCCAATAGCCAGAAAGTGTCGCTTTCGGCGGGTATTTACAACACGACACCTCCACTGTTATCTCCATTACTCCACCAAATATGTAGTTATAGTCTTGCATTCCTCCTGTTGTCCACCAATTCATTCATTAATATTCATTATTCATTATAAATATCTATAATTTATACTGTATTTTATAATAAAATTCTTAATATTACTTTTAGATTATTTAATTCTAAACTAATTTAATGGAAAAAACTTTTGAATATTTCATAAATAATTATTTGATCATGATGATATTGTGATTGAATGATAAATGAATTGATAAAAGTGTCAGACCTTTGACGGGATACCATTGGGCGCCGTTGACAATGCCGTTCTCGAAGGCGTCTGTCCTCTCTTTGCACTGAACCGGACTCTTCATATTCGGGTGTTTCTTGACATAAGTGAGCGCCAGATGTCTGAAGACGTCATTGTCCGGCGCCACAGACTTCTTGCGTAAACCAAACTTATTGTTATCGTACGGATAATTGGCGACAACTGTCCCGCCGTGAAAGTTGGCCGACAGTACGAATGGCACGCTTTGGATCCATTTCCTTATGGCCGCCGTTTCCGGCTGTTCCGACCGACTATTGTCTTGGAAAAAGTCCGGAAAATTGCGGTTTAGGTCCCGATTCGCCGCATTGTTTCTGTTTTTCAGACAATTTTATTTAAATTTAAAATAAATGCAAATTTTAATAATTCATATTTCGTTTGAATGTATTCCCATTTGNATAGTCTAATAATTAATGTGATTGTCATTCATTGAGGAAATGTTTATTTAGTACAGAATAGAGTATAGGAATCTGCAATAAGTGAGTATAGCATTGCAAACAATATGTACTGACACTCACATTCATTTACTAACACTTGAAAAAATGCCAAAATATTTAGAGGACAAACATGTCTATAATTAATGAGTTTTAGATTATGTCTACGAAAACACAATTCATTATAAGGATATTGTTGTATTCATTCAATAAAAGTGTTCAACTATTTTCTCATTACAAAACTATTTTGTACATTGAGTCTTGAGAAAATATTTTATTCATTTAATTAACTCACATGCATAACTGTTCATTGTATGCATAATTTATATGATTCTGTGTGTATTTTGTATTTTAATTATTTGTTTTGTGTAGTTATAATAAAATTTGAGGTAAAACCCAAAATAACAGCTTAATTTCAATTTCAATATTACAAATACAGTATCACAATTCAACTGCTGTTGTAAATTGAAAGCAATTTATGAAATACTGTATATAATATGAAAGTGTATTACTGTCTGAATGACAGCAAATTCTTTTGAAAGTATAGATTTGAAAAATATTGAGCGCATGAATAAAAGTGATAATAAAATGCAAAGTGAACTCGTTTTTCGAGACCCATTTCCATGAATATTAGGGTTTTATATGACTATATATTACACATAAGAATTGCACAACACTTTCCATTTATCACTATTTTTTGCTTTTAATTAAATTTCATACGAATTGACAGAAATGTGAAGAAGAGTTGCGGCGATAAAGAGTGGGTTTAATAGTAAATTGAGGCATAAAACCAGTTATTGTTTTAATTGAAAATTCAATCTACAAATAAAATTCAAGTTTATTAGAGTTCAGATCAAAGCTCTGTATATGAAATGAAGTTATGATTGCAATTATGTCTCACTTTTGATTTCATACACAACATATGCGAAGGTATTCCCCTTACTTCTAACGAGTTACTAATCCTGGTGTTTATTTTCATCTAATAGTTACTAAAAATAGCATAAGTTTACAGAATTTTGTGTTAAATTTTTGTTCATTTGTTTAGTTTGTGCTCTGCTTTGGGATAATAGGCATTGAAATAACAAAACGAGAAAATATGAGAGTTTGGCACAAAAAGTGAAATAATAATTAATTGTAATATTTATATAATATATAGTGTTTGGAGAGAAAGAAGGAAATGTCAATGAATAGTATTTTACAAAATTTTGTGTTGAAATCAGTGAATCGTTGATAAAAACTCATTATAATGACATTGAAAGTAAATTTTGTGTTTTGCAAAACAACTTCTCGTTTATTAATATTGCTTTCCATTGAGTAACGATTAAAAATTATAAATATTTCGTGTTTTAAACTGAACTTCATTTTTATCATTATATTCACCGATTTGAGTGTGGATTCAGTTTTATATTTTTCTTAAAATATAGTCTAATATCTCATCGTTTTATTTGTTTTTATATGTAAAATATTTCATTTAAATGTGTATTCCTTGAAGTCTCTTATGATTGATATTTATGTGAATTTCGTCTCAAATATATACAACATTTCATAATGTATTCAATAATTAGTCTATTATTTTTGGCAGTGATTTATGTGTTGGTGGATGTGAACAATTCATTACAAATTAATTATGTTTACCATAACTACACCGCAATGACTGGTATATTAAAAAATATTAACAAAACGCATTCAGATCTCGTGTTTCTCTACTCTATCGGACAGTCAGTCGAAGGCAGAGAACTATGGGTTCTCCTCATCACTAAGTATTGCATTCATTGTTCAGAATATTCTGTATTTTTATATTTAGCTATTTATTTAATTTTTATATACACTATGTTTGAAATTTTAATATTCTTATATTTACAATATATATAATAAATAAGTGATATATTGGTATAACTGTATTGAATAGAGAGCCTAATAAGGAGGTGCTGTTGAAGCCAAATGTCAAATACGTGGCTAATATGCACGGCAATGAAGCGGTGGGCCGGGAGTTAATGCTTCAATTGATAGCATATCTGATCAATAATAGCGGCAAGAAATCGATTAGAAATCTATTGGAAACGACAAGAATTCATATAATGCCGTCAATGAATCCGGATGGCTTTGAACTGAGTCTCGAGGGCAGGTGTGAGGGGCCCGGGAGGTATGTGCCAACAAATATATTCTCTTACTAATTAGTTAATTGCTTATATTTCTGCTACTGTATTGGTAATGAGACTTATATTTTAAATGCTTTTTATATCTTAATATTAATATTTATTTCAATAATATTGTACTTTATTTATTATAATTATAAGATTTGACTTTTACAATTTTTTTATTAACTCTTATTTGAAAGCTGAACTCAATTTTATGAAACATAAATTAAATTGAATCAATTAATGTCGTATATAATTATATTTAACATCGAGTTATCGATAAATAGTGTAACAGACTTGCAATAAATGCTCGAAATGTTTGGTTAATTGCCAACTGAATAAACACATGAATCAATGGACAAAAAGTTTGTTGAATAAAGTTATTTAAAAGTTCTTAGCTTTTCATGAATATAACAATTTCTACTCAAAAGTAATGTAATCCTAAAAATGTGTTTACTCTGAGAGCACTGTTTTTGTGCAAAATTCTGTACATTTGGTGCAGATGTCAAACAAATGAAGAGTTTTGATATAATATGCAAAAAGTAGATCTCAAACACACTCACGATATTATCTTTTGTTTGAATCAATGTTTTTGACTTCAATAGAGTTCAAAATTGTTATCTCGTATTTCATATCGATTTTTAAGT